GCATGGACAGCGCTGACCAGTTGCCTTGGACATTATTGTTTCTTGACTAAGCAAATATCAAAGTTGAGACATTTCGAGCTGGGCCCGAATACAAGTTCTACCAGTTTGATTACTCCCTTTTCCAAATTATGATTCAAGCTCTTAAAGCTCCCCAAGTAAACAATCGCAGGGCTGAAAGCCAAAGCGAGACTCCGCTCTTCCAGCGTGGAAAAGATGAATTTGTATCTTCTATGTAATCCTCGCATTTCATTTTCAGGTCGTAGGCAGACCCTAGCGTTAAGTATTTGCCTGTTGTATTTTCTTTTAGTCTTTTGTAGTTTAGCCCCTATGGCAGAAGTGATATGCTTATCAGCACATGGCCTTAAGCCTAAATTCTTTGTTATCAACAACTCGACACCTAAGTACCACAAAGCCCCTAAGGCAAAAGGATCTCTATTTGTGCTTTTATTATTCTGAATGTTGTATAAGAATCAGGCAATCAAATTTTGTCAGCGTAAAGTTTTTTCTAGTCAGTTAGAGTCTAGTCAGTTAAAGTCGAGTCTTACTGTAATTTGTGAAGCAAACAGAGTTATTTTTAGCGATTATAATGTGCGTTGCCCATAAGGCCTAGAAAATCAGTAAGGTATGTTTTGCCTGAGCTTTGAATTAAACAATGTTGGAAATGTTTCACCACAGGGTTCCAGTTCCGGTTCCAGTTGCAGTTCCAGTTCTGAGTTCTAGTTCTGGTGAAGCTCCAGTTCCAGTGTGACGCTTCGGATGATGCTCCTACCCAGACAGTTTATCCCACCAGTGCATTATACAATCTCCCAGTGTTGAACTTTTGAATGCTGCACTTACCGAGCCAGTTTCCAGCTGCCTGTTATCGTGAGCTACCCCTCGCCTTTTGTTAAGCCGATTATGGCCGTGTTGATTTAGTATCTTGCGTTTAAGTGGGAAATTTCTTTAAGTTATACTGTAACTGGTACTGTACTGAATTTCCTTGGAAAGAATTAAAGTTAGATATCTTTCCAATAGAAATATGTGTAGCAATGGAATTACCTAGATATCTGTATCATGAAATGTATATGAAATGTATATGAAACGTATATGAAACGTATATGAAATGTGTATGAAAAATAAAGCTAGATATTTTTCCAAAAAAATATTTGTAGCAAAACTTCGAATCCCACGCACGAAGTTTTTTTCTCCGTGTATGATATCGAAAACTACTGGACCGATTCACCTCAAAATTGCTTTAAATAAAAACTCTTAGGCGCTTTCTCCGACCGCTAAGAGTTTGTCCTCCTTCAATCTTGGCATTTATTGGACCAATTTACCTCAAGTTTTTACTACTGAAAGCTCTTGGTCTTTAAATGTACCAACACCCCTCGGTTTTTCGATCTGCATGACCGACGTTGCAAAATTTACCTCGAATTGATGGGCACTCATTTCGATTTTGCCACTTGGCAATTTGTCCTCCTTCGATATCAACCACTATTCGACCGATTTACCTCGGATTTGCTTTAGACGAAAGCTCTTGGGATCTGGATGAGCCATAACTCTTAAGTTATTGATCTTCGTTGCAAAACCTACCTTGGATCGAAAACGACATATTTTCGCCTTTTTTATATTTTTCAAAAAGTGTACCATATTCTAGTAGTCAATTACAAAAATTTACTTAAAAAAAATTCTCGGGACTGAAGACATGGATTTTAAAAACAAACTGTGGCAAAAACTCTTACGATCAGCGGCATGTTTTCTTATTTTTCCTTCAAACCATCTGTTTTAGAGGAGTGGGTATGTCTTCATATTGATCGTTTATTGAATCGGAGCATTTCTTTCACCCATACTTAAAAAAGAAGTCTACTCGCAAAAATAATTTTGACCAAATAAATGGAGTTTTAAGAAAGCTGCGGCCAAAACTTTTGCGATTAGCGCCCTTTTTTCTCATTTTTCTAATACACCGTTGATTTCAGAAGAAAATATTCTGAAATATCTTTAAAGAAATGTCAAAGGACGGGTTGCGATTTGGGCCGAAATCGGCCCCTCCACGGAATTGAGAAATTTTTGGGTATACGGCAGTTATCGGTGGATATTTGACAGAAATAATCTAGAATATGGTGTCAAGGACACCTATACAAGTAACATACCTGAATATAATCAATCATCGCCTCTGGGCCCAACTTCAAAATCGAACTTTTCCAACTTTTTAGCCCGATGAAATAGCTGAAAATTCATGTTTTTCGCGGTTCTACCTCAGATTTCAACCTGGGCCCAAAGGCGACGAGTGATGAGCTTCGAATATGGTGTCAAGGACACCTAGACACGTAACATACTTGAATATGATCAACCGTTACCTCTGGACCCAACTTCAAAATCGGACTTTTCCAACTTTTTAGCCCGAAATAGCTGAAAATCCATGTTTTTCGCGGTTCTACCTCAGATTTCGACCAGGGCCCAAAGGCGACGGGTGGCGAGCTTCGATTATGGTGTCAAGGACACCTAGACACGTAACATACTTCAATATGATCAACTGTCACCTCTGGACCCAACTTCAAAATTGAACTTTTCCAACTTTTTAGCCCGAAATAGCTGACAATTCATGTTTTTCGCGGTTCTACCTCAGATTTCAACCTGGGCCCAAAGGCGACGGGTGATGAGCTTCGAATATGGTGTCAAGGTCACCTAGACACGTAACATATTTGAATATGATCAACCTTCGCCTCTGAGCCCAACTTCAAAATTGAACTTTTCCAACTTTTTAGCTTTCAACTTTTTCACTGTTTCTGCCAGGCGTTTTCCGCGGTTAGCGCCAAGCAGCAGACTCGAGGTGCTTTTCCGACCGGAAAATCGCACTCAGCGGGTCATTTGCAAGCGAACATGCTTGGTTTCAGCTTGGCGAACATCCGATTTTGACCCTTAAAATTTTGTCCATGTAATCCCTGCCGATTTTTCTCGATTCTGGTCAACAGAAAAAATTCCGAGATTTCAGTCGGATCCTATGTAGATGAAAGCGCTGGATCGATTGAGCACAATTTCGCGGTTGGGCGGGGCTTCCTGAGCCGAGGAACAGCGAAAAACTGGTCTGAAACGAAGTGTTTCTGGCCGGTTTTTCGCCGTTTTTGCCAGGCGTTCTTCGCAAATAAAGCCAAGCAGCGGACTCGAGGAGCTTTTCCGACCGGAAAATCGCACTCAGCGGGCCATTTTCCAGCGAACATGCTTGGTTTCGGCTCGTTTGGCGAACTTTCGATTTTGACCCGTATTTGCTTTCGATATTTAGGGAAAAATTATAAAAAAAATTTGTGGTATGAAGAAAACTGCGAAAAAAATTTCTGCGATGAGCACCTTGCTTATCTTTTTTCGTCTAAACCATTGATTAAAGAGGAAAATGTCTGTAAATCTCCTTAAAGAGCAAAAAATTTGGTAGTGACCACTTATGGAAAAAACTAATTAAAAATATTCTTGTAACCAAAATTGCAGGACTTAAAAAGAGCCGCGACAAAATTGTTATCATCAACGAACTTTCTGATCATTCTTCTTTGAAACCAATAATTTTAGAGGAGGATGTCAAGTGATAGTTTTATAGATCTGAAAATTTTGTAGTAGTTACTAACAAAAAAAAGGAAGTAAGGTTGTCTATAAAAAAGCGGGCCCTGACGCAAAATCAAAGGCCGTGGCGCGGCAGCGTTAGATATTGCATGGATATTTGGACAAGCAAGGATATTTTCGGATATTTTCATACCCACATTGAAGGATAGTGCCCCATTAAAAACTTTAAAGATCTCACAAAGAAGAAAGACCCTACCTCGTGGACCGGGATCCGCCGATCAGAATCGAATCGCTTCCGACCGCAGCGCTCTTTGGACCCTTAGTAAAGGTCAAATTAATTGAGGAAGGACAATCTCTTAGCGGTCGGAGAGACGAGCATATTTCGTTAACAGTTCGAGGTAAATTTTGCAACGTCGCTTCGCAAATCGAAAAACCGAGGGGTTTTGGTACATTTAGAGACCTAGAGCTTTCATTTGCGAGAATCCGAGGTGATTCGGTCCAATAGTTGCCGAGATTGAAGGAAGATAAACAGTCTGACGGCAAAGACGAAAGTTTTTTTGTTACCAACATCAGGTAAATTTTGCAACGTCGGTTGCGCAAATCGAAGAACCGAGAGGTGTTGGTACATTTAGAGACTAAGAGCTTAATGTTAAAAAGCCTACGCTAAAACTGTGCACTCGGAGTCTTCGAACGCGACTCATTTACATGTTTGTGAGTTTTTCAATTTTCAAAAATGTTAAGCTCTTAGACCCCCCCCCCCTCCAATTCGGAATACCGGAGTTCAAAAATATCAGTAACCATTATGGCCATGTTAAAGCCGTTGTTTGGCTGAATTTTCTGACATGTCACACTTATATAGTAGGGTGAGCTGTGATTTTTCAAAATTTTGAGGCATCAAGCCCATCGGGGGCAGTCAATTTCGAAAATCATTTGTAACCATCTTACCTGTGCAACTACGTCCGGTACTCTGAGTCCTTGGACAAACCTCACTTACACGTTTTTGAATTTTTCGATTTTCAAAAATATTGAGCCCTTAGCCCCCCCCCCTCCCATTAGGGACACCGGAGTTCAAAATTTTCAGTATGCACTTTGGCCACGTAATAGCCGTCGTTGGGCTGAATTTTTAGACATGTCACACTTATATGGTAGGTTTAGCTACGCTTTTTCAAAATTTTTAGCTTTTAAGCTCCTTGGGGTTAATTAATTTCAAAAATTATGTGTAACTTCGTAAACCACTGGAAATCGCTCGGAACTATGAGTTTTGTTTACATACCTCACATCAGCACTTCAATGTATTTCCATTTTCCAAAATTTTTAGATCTTACGGACCCTCCCCCCCCCTCGGGTCACTTTCGGCCGATAAAGGGCCGACGTAAGCATTGGAAAGAACAAGAGTGAATTGAATCACGTTACAAAAAAAAATAAAAAAAAGGAAAAATAGATAAATAAAAAAAATTAACAAAAAAAAAAAATAAAGATATGTACATGAATGTATATTTACAAAAATATCTGAGCATTAGTGCACAGCAGAATAACAGAAAAGACTAAGACTACACTTAGCTCACGAATCAAGTGATTACTTGGTAGCGGGTAACTCACAACTACATTTGTAATTTTCAAAATGTCGGGCTTCACTCTTTTGAGTTATTTGCATTAGTTCTCGAGAAAAAAACCCGCTGACAGAAAGTGTAAAAATGAGTATTGAACATAAGGTCGGAATTAAAAATTATATCAAATCAGGTACACGACTAAAATTTTTGATCGATTAGTCCACGACCACAAATATCCTTCCGGCAGAGTTTTTGATATTTATTCGTCACTCCCTGAGACCGTATAGGTGAAGACAATTTCATTCAGTGTTTACCTGGAAAAAATAAATTAGATTAATTACTATGCCTATGTGATAATTATTGTAATTAATAATACTGATGATTTCTTCGAGGTACAAAGAAATTCATCGTTATTGGATAACTAGGGGGCTACGCCCCCTGGCTGCTACGCGGCCCAACCCCCTGAAGGCGCTCCGCGGCCCTATTTTTACCCTCCTATCGGTGTTAGTTTTATTTTTCCCCTAAAAAATTACGATATAAGGTATACTTTACTTTTAGAATGAAATAATTTTTGGTTTTGATGAATAAAGAAACAAAATTATTTTTTTGAAGTCTAAAGGACGCGTTTTGGAATGACTACTTGATGAANACTAGGGGGCTACGCCCCCTGGCCGCTACGCGGCCCAACCCCCTGAAGGCGCTCCGCGGCCCTATTTTTACCCTCCTATCGGTGTTAGTTTGATTTTTCCCCTAAAAAATTACGATATAAGGTATACTTTACTTTTAGAATGAAATAATTTTTGGTTTTGATGAATAAAGAAACAAAATTATTTTTTTGAAGTCTAAAGGACGCGTTTTGGAATGACTACTTGATGAAATATTGCAGTAAAACAACGAACATTGATAATCAGGTAATAATTAAGAGTTTCGGGAGACGGGAATCGAACCCATACCATGTTCAAGGTGGACGCTTCCGACGTCTTTGACGACTCGGCCACCGCTCTACCTGAGGCAGACGGGGCGAATCTTGTGTAGATAAGTGTAGAGCTGATGCGCAGGCTACACAGCTACTGCGCAACCTCCTCGACCACTGCGCATCCTCCCGCGCATAGCGGTAGCAGTCTCGGAGCATTCTGAAAATTCAATCACTTTTATAACGTGATTGTATAAAAACCTGGGTCCTATTTCCAAAATCTGAATAGAGCGGGCTCATCTAGGGCCAATTACCCGTCGATTACCGCAAAAAACTTAGAAATCGGCCCGGTAGAACACTCAAACGAACTATGACAAAAAATATAAATTTACATTGTTTANGGGAGGTTCCTGGGTTTCGCGGGAGGTAGTACCCGTCACCTCATGCAGCTTTTCCTGGAACAGGGTGTGAACTCCATGCGACTCCATGCGACGGGTGCTTGCTTGAGGTTGCATGAGGTTAGTCCCCGCTGCGGAAGGTTAACCACCTGCGAACCTCCCGCCGCATGAGGTTCACTTCCACTAGGGTTAACCTGCCAGAAATTTCCAATCGCATTTACTTGAATGAGGCTATCTATACTATAAGCTCTCAAGCCTCCTAATTTTGCGAAACTGGTAACGCTTAGTTCCAGCGTTCTACCGGGCGGCTATCGACGGGCAATTGTCTCTAGATAAGCCAACTCTTTTCAGATTTTCAAAATATGGCCTAGGTTTTTTTATATTAAGTGGTAAAGTTGCGAATTCTCCCATTTAAACAAAAACCAAATTTGGCGGGAGGTTGGAGGGAGGTTCCTGGGTTTCGCGGGAGGTAGTACCCGTCACCTCATGCAGCTTTTCCTGGAACAGGGTGTGAACTCCATGCGACTCCATGCGACGGGTGCTTGCTTGAGGTTGCATGAGGTTAGTCCCCGCTGCGGAAGGTTAACCACCTGCGAACTTCCCGCCGCATGAGGTTCACTTCCACTAGGGAAGGAACACAAAATGTAACGGTGCCTTTCTAATTTAAATTTATTAACATTACACAGTCAGGATATTTATCTTCGTTGAAGAAAATTCCAATGCAATCATGTATCTTTTCAGTCACAATCTAGAATTATTTTTTTATTTTCATGTTCATTTATTGTCGTGATTTTATCGTTTACTTTTAATCGGCGTTTAAATGTGAGTGGAATACCAAGATGAAACATTACAAATATGGCTGTTTACTTAAAAGAAGCTGTGCAGTTTTATTTAGCGAGGCATTCCGCAACTTCATCATACTATAAGAGACCATTTAGACGTTTTAGTCTACAATCATGTACTAACCTGCATAATGCATGCTATTATTTGTTTGAATTTTGCTGAAAATTTAGTTGTGAAATTAAACCAAGGGTCTTCTCGTTATAATGTTGTAAATCAAATACAATGAGTCTGTCACATGCTAGAGATACAGCCAGCTAAATGCAGTTTTGAAGTTGAAATTCGCTGGAAATTCCCATTAGCACATCACAAAAGCCTAAATTATACTTCTTAGCGTACAATCGGCGCGGCTCAGGCCGTAACACGTTTTTTCAAATTTACCGTGTATGCGGGCAGTTTTTCTTGGTGGTCGGCACTGGCGGTCAAGTTTGCCCGAGGAGAGACCTAACCTAAATAAACAAACAATCTTGGAAACTTTTATAAACTCTCATCGCGTGAGTTTTTTTTTATTCAAAGCTTTTGGTTTTGCCAGATAAAAATTGAAAGAGAAACAAGCGCTTGAAAACAAATTAAATCATACGTAGAATAGAAAAAGTTTGTTGATCATTTGTTCACTTTTGGTAGTTCTTTATTCCTCCTATGCCTGTTCAAACCTGGTCGGCGGTGACTGAGAGACCCAAGTAAAAATGTTCCTTGACTTAGACACGGAAATGAGCTGATTTCCTTGGACGAGGGAAGGAAATCAAATGATTTCCTTGACTCGTCAAAGAACGTCAGTCATGCAAATGACGCAATATCGCTGACACTGTCAAGGAACTTCAAGTGAGTTCCCTGGAATCAAGGAACGTTAGTCATGCAAATGACGCTATTTCCCCGACACTGTTAAGGAACTCTGGTGAGTTCCCAGAAGTCAAGAAAAGTCAGTCATGGAAATTACTTTAAACTTGAAAAACTGGTTCTCACGAGTATAAGAGTTTACATAATTTATGATAGCCTAGAATTTTGGGGGGTTGAAAAAAATAAATTTAAAAAAATAAAAATGAGAAAACCAGAATAAAAAATAAACACATTTTAAGCCCTCGTTGATCAGTTGAATTTGGTGAGTCATGCCCATTATATTTTCCTTTTGCATACAATTTTGTCACAGAAAACCGTCCATAAATAAAATTAAATGCAAAAATGCCCTCGAAATTGAATCAATCCTGCATTTTTTTCCTTCGGTTTGTTTGTTTGGTAAACCATATAAGCTAGTTTCTTGCTGGAGCATGGAAACTAGCTTCAAGGAAATCATGGCCACGGAAACCAGCTGCAAGGAAATCACGGTCACGGAAAATTTTCCGTCCAAAACTTCCGTGACTTTGATTTCCTTGGGAAAAGGTCACGGAAATGTCAAGGAATATTTTTACGTGGGGAGACTGTCCACAGACGCGGGGAACTTGAAAAAGCGTGTTTCAAACTACGCAGACTGTGCGCTAAGGAGCGGATTTTAGACTTTTATGATGTGTCCATCGTGATTTTAGAGCGAATTTACCCTCAAAAGGTTTTTTCAGTTGACCGTATCTCCCTCGCGCAACAGACTCATTTTCAAAATGAAAGTCGGGCTTGGGACCTTTTCAACGAAATCGACGAAGAAGCATGTGTCCGTGCTAAACATGGTATAATTTAGTCTACGCCTAATTAAATCTCATCTTGCCTCTCACTCATAATTCATGTCAAACACACATATGTTTTTAGAAAAACACCATTTTCTGAACTTACTGGACTCGGCGTTTGGAGCTGCTTTCTCCTCTGCTACGATTGTGTCAGGTAACTTTAAGTCTTTGGTTTCTGGAAGAGGTATTATCGTTAGTGCGCAGAGAATTGGTAATATTCCGAAGACTATCAGAGGTAGATCAGGACCCAGGCCTAAATAAGTCTGCAACAGTCAAAACCATTAGAGAAATGAGACAAATAAATGACTAAAGATCTAGAACAATAATTAATATCAATGATAAACACACAACTTAGAATTTACACCTCAAGTTAGGTTCAAAACAATCTTATAAAAAAGATTCGGAGAGCAAAAAGGCATGTAACAACTAAAAAAGGCAATGCACTATGATATTATTACATGAGAAATTCGTGAAAATCGAGTTTGTTTTCCTCAAAATTTTCCTCTTTGCCCGAAAAATTTTCAAACCAAATTCATGAGATCCAATTATTTAAGATTTTTTCACGACTTCTTACATACAAAACTCTCTGACTTGTAAGAACTCTATCAGTTTTAAATTTTGTATGTAAGCCATTTTACGAGCTGTGCTGACAAAAGTGTATGAAAAAGAAGTGATATTTTTTTACAAAGCAGCACATTCTCGCACTTTATTTTATTTTCTTTAGAACATTTTATGACTCTTTTATTTCCTCATGTAATTGAAAACCGCAGGGAAAAAAATCAATTTTTCGTGTAATTTTTTATGTGATATGTTGAACTTTGACGACACAAATTTTGGTTATTTTCTGTAAAAAAATGAATTTCAATGCTCTTAAATACTAAAACAAGAAGAAATTATATTCGAGGAATTTATGGAGCTCATGAGATAAAGCGAAAAAAACGTGTCTTCACTGTACCCTCTTTTTAAAAAATATACCTACTTGAAAATACCTGCGTGCAGCATCAGTTATCTACGAAAAGTATGCAGGAGCCTCTCACGAAATGAGAGGGCACTTTTCGGGGAATAAGTGAAGCTTTTTAATGTATTTGAAGTTACTTGCCAGGTGGTAGCAAATTGTATAGATTATTGAATAATCATACTAGTTTTGAAAATGTTGATTTTTTTTCTACCATTGTTTTTTAAGAAGAAGTTTGTTAATATTTTAAGTATATTTTTAGTAGACTCAAGAAAAACCTTTCTTCCGCCATTTTTTTGACGAAGTAGTGATTCTTAAGTGTCATCACAGAGCAATCATTAAAAAATCTCTGAAAGTTTTTACCAGAATGTGTCACCAATTACAAAAAAAAATCCCCTGAAAATTCCTCAGAAAAATTTCTGAAAAGTTTTTCGCCGAAAAAGAGCTTTCAAAAATAGAGAACTTGCTAATGTTTCATAGGTCATTTGGCGTTGCCGTTTGTTCAGTAAATTCACCGGAAAAATCTGGAAAGTTTAATAATTCGTACCAGATCTAAGGTGAATGGAGCAATCATGGAGCCTAATCTTGCGAACATGGAGGCAGTTCCGATGCACATATTTCTTACAACTGTTGGAAAAATTTCCCCGCTCATCAGATACTGTGCAGGGAAAGTGATCGAAAGAGACAGCGTTGCAGTCAAGGCTAGGAGAATTCTAGGCCAGTCATAGCTGAAAGTGCCTGAAAAAGGAAGCAGAACAGGTATGTTTAAAAGCTCAAATGAACAGAAACAACACCAGGAAAAAAGGCTCATCAGCAAGTCTGTTCTAAAAAGTTGGTTTAATTTGTTCGACTTTGCCATGGTGGCATACACTTCCTAGGGTAAAAAAAATTTTTTGAGAACAGAGTATTTTTATCAATTTTATTGCGGAATTGAGGATTCCTTGAACTTTAGGCTCTTTTACTTCTCATTCATGTAAGGTCTGAATTTTTTTTTCAGAGTCCCTAGTTGATGACCCACACTACTTTCAATGGTATCTTTATGTATAAAAATTCAAGCTTCAATGAGAATTTTTTAGCCCTGGAAGATCTAACCCACTTTGTTGAATTGATATTGTTTCAAAGTCGAGAAAAAAACGTCAATAATTCAACTAACTATATGTAGGGTCATACCACCTGACCATCTCATGGTTCGAATACCCGAAGCGTTTCGCGCCTCAAGCGTTTCGCGTTACACTTTTTACTCTTATAATTTTATATTTTTGACTATAATAATAAATAACGTATAGTCACATCAATCAGAGCATGCTGCACAATTTCATTCAACAAACATTCATGACAATTATTCAGTCAAAGCAAATATTCAGCACTGATAGAAGCCAGAAAATATGATGAAGGATATCATGGTAGGTTTACCATTTACGCCGGGTCCTTTTCTTAAGTGTTCCTAAGGAAGAAAATTATTATTTAATGTTCAGTTCGTAAAAACAATGTGAGCAAAACAGAAAAGTTGACCGTTGGCGGGAATCAGCAAAGCAAATGAGTTTAGAAGATGGACGGCAAATTGGAAACAACGATATTTACAAATATAATTTAGGAGTTCTTCTGACCCAGGATGTAAGATTGGACCAGGCCGTCAAGAATATAAATATGCAGCTTGGGAGGACAATTGCCTTGTTGAATGGAGTCCTTTGGAACCAAAATATTTCCAAGGAGAACAAATAAAGGATCTACAATGCGATATCCAAGAGCATAGTAACCTACAGGTGTGAATTAAGGCCGATTAAAAAGCGGATTTGGGAGGTTTTAGAGGCAACATAGATGAACTTCTGGCGTAGATCCACTGGTATTTCCAGAGAAGATCGCGTCAGAAATGAAACTGAACGGGAAATCATGGATGTCAAACAGACCGTCGTGCAAGACATTATGACGTAACAACTCATTTGGTAATGGTCATGTTCAAAGAATGGCAGGAGACAATGTTGCCAAAGAAGGTCCTTGATTCGTTTTCTCCTAAGACAAAGCGCAGCGAGGGCGCCCAAAGAGAGGTTGAAGGAATTGGAGTTAATCAGGAATATTAACGTACTCAATACCCGAAGGGTTGTGCTTTGACAGAGGGCAGTGACGGTTAGGTGTCAAAGGGCACCACGGAGTCTTAATAAGTGACGTATGTGTAAGTTAATTCGTATGAAGAAGGTACACTCACCTCTAGGGAATAAAGCTATCATTAGGAGAGCTACTCCAGCAATCAGCTGGGTGTAAATAATGGTGTGTCGTCTACCACATTTGTGGACAATTTTAATGCACGCGAGAGGTCCTAAAACACCACCCAGAAGACCTGTAAATATCAAACATAATAGTTATAAAAATAAATCACATAATGAAAGATTGAAAATGCACCGAATAATAAGTTTTCAGAATTGGAAATGAATCTGGATTTGTTAGCTTTTTCACTATTGTATCGAGTGTAGGAGGTATCAGTTAAGTTTTCATAGTCATTTTCTGTGATTGTAATGTTGAGACCGTACACGGAATGACCGAATGACACAAGCAAGCTTACAAAATTTCTGATCCTCGTGGGTCCAAACTGTTGTTTTTCTCTTAAAATATAGTATCAGAAGTCTCATTATCCGCATTTACGACTTTCTAGCTCGATTGCATTTACCAAAAAAAAATCTGCAAAATTGCCAAAATCGCAAAGATGAAAAATCGGTAAAACCACTTAGGTGCCTTGCGGGACCACTTAACCTTTAGCTACAACCCTGAGATTTTTGTGTGATTTTTTCTAACCATGAGACAAGTTTTTGGCGAGTATCTCTATTGGATTTCGCAATTTTTTTAAAGGTCCAAAATGGGACACCGTAAGCCGCACTGTCCGGCCTGCAGTCTAAAAAGCCGCAATAAAAAGTAATGAAAAAAATACCTCCAAGGATGACATTCACGAAGATGTTTCCTCCTAGCTGAGCTTGGAACTGGGAAAATCCGAAAAAGCTGAGACCACAGGCAAACCAGCCAAACCAAACTAATATACAGTGTGTTCGTAAGGTAGGTGATCTCATTACATCAGCCATTGTTGCTTTTTTAGGTCCAGTCTCATTATTACTCTCAGATGTAGATTTAATTATAGAACTCTGCAAAAGCGAATTGAAAAGTTAGAATATCGTACGGGAATGCGGTAAAAATCTGTCGTGCTTATAGCCAGAATGGTAGTGGGTGAGGTTTACCGTCTTGGACTCCCAGATTCGACCCGTGAGAACAATTCAAGAAAGAACTTCAAATATGATAAACTGACCCACCTGGATGTTTGGTGTATCAATCATCTGTATAAGCAAGGAGAAACTTATATTTTAGTAGGTGGCTGACCGCCTCGAACTGTTACGTAGAAATTACTCCGACGCGGGATGTAGGTACCCGCGGGAGCCGCAAGTCTCAGGATTCGCGGCTATGGGGTGGTGAAAAAGGGTCAATGGAGTAAGTCATTTTCAAAATCGTGGATAATGAAATTATTGTATCCATATTCAGGTGCTGTAATCGTATCCTAGATATTCAAGTTTATTGCCTGCCTTGGGTATTGAACCTAGGTCCTACTTAAAATTAGCCGAAGACCTTGATGGTTGAGCCATATGAGAGACCCGCCCGAAAAACCTGAACGTATTTTCGTTTTGAATGAGGAACTATGATATTCAATGTACGTATAATTGTTTGGTTAATCATTTTATTCTATTATTTCATTTGATTTTTCAACGTTATTTCATTTGTTAACTTCATTTTATTGGCATACTTCATTTTAATTTTTTTACCGTATTATTTTTCTTCGTTTATTTACAAAAAAACTTGCTTTTTGAAATCACTCCGATGTACCATACTACAGCACATCGAGAAACCAACACTATTCAATGGGCAGTCCAAGTTCCTTTTTTTCGTTGGATCCGTTTTTTCATGTTTGAACCGTTATACTGTCAAGCCCTGATGATGAAGCCCGAATGGACTACTCAGGGGTAACCCTCTGAGAACAAATTCCCGTCAGAACCGTATTATTTTATTTGACAGAGACCTCAGATAAACTTTCCTACGCTCGAACGACTCGGATTTAGAAGCTTAGATCCCGCCGCAATTTTGTAACCAATGAGCGTCTTTGGCATATGTCCTTGTTCGATCAGAGGCGGTCGAACGTAAGGTAGCTCTAAAGGCGCCGAAATAATTGCGGCCTTTGTTACAATTTTATATAAGTTTAATTATAAGGTTAATTATACAATTTTATCTAAGTTTATAATTTGCAATATAGCGCATTCTGTAGTTCAATGAGCTAACTTGAACCGTCACATCAACCCCCCCCCCCTTAAAAAAAAGATATATGAAGCACAAGCGCACTCGGTGGCAAAATGAGTCGACTTGATGATGCAGTTAACCACCAATTATGTCTCGGTGAACAGATTTGTAGTAACTGGTAGTATGAAAATTATTGCGTTCACTAAAAGCGTTGTGCACCATACAATAACGTTGGTTAATCTATCCATTTGATCAGGTTTACGAAACCAACTTTTAATCAACTAAACGAAGATGGTTATCCGCGCAAAGTCATTATTTTCCATGAATTTATTAAAAAAATATCCTTAAGCGTAAGAAATAAAAATGAAAGGACACATTTTCACATTTTATTTCTAATATTGCTGCATTTACAAAACTATGTGTGTTGTCGATTGACAAATTCAAGAGAGATTGAAAGCTTTCATATTTCAGTAGGATGACCGTGAAGCTGCAGGATCACATAATTCAATTCCTTTGCTTAAAGGAACCCAGTCACAGTTAATTTTTTCCAACAAAAATGTCTCAGATATTTCGTGCAATATTGTTACAGAATATTTTAAAAAATGCAATGAAAAAACTGTATTTTGTACATTGATACAGTCTATCTTAAAACAGAATTAAATGTAATAAGGAATAATTTTGAAAGTGCTGATTTTTTGCATTGTAAGACCAAAAAAGGTGATTATTGTTTTCAAAAACACATCCGAGTCCTGCGGCTCTTGCGTAATTTTCACGCTAACTACAGACGTCTGCTCAAAATAAATTTTCCCTCGTAAAATTTATAGAGAAAATTTCCCGAAGTCCTTATGATACGATGCCTTATTAATATTTTGCCAGTGGAACTTCTTTTTCAAACTCGGAATTTTCTTCATCCCGTTAGGATTCTTATCACGATAACCAGAATTCTTTTCTGACACGGAAATATATTTAAATATGATAGACAAAGCTATAAAAAAAGAAAACAAGAGGGAAATGAAACGATTCTACCAATTAAAACGGTCGGTTGAAATACACTAAGGTGGAAACCGATGCACTACTACACGTTCTCTCGTAGGTTGTCGTTAGATAGTCTATAACTGACCTTTTCATTGCAACCACCCACAACCAGCAATAGAATCGCTATTTCTCCCTTTGACTTCTATGTTCGTATCGCTTTATCTATCGATGTCAATGCCGATAATCAACCCAGATGTTAATATGCACCGAAGCTTTTTTCGGGACTTTGGGAAATTTTTCTCTGTGCACTTGTTCATATTTTTTAAGATGCTCCGTCTTTGAAATGGACCCATTCACTTAACAAGATGTTATGTAAGTGCTCAATTAAAATTTTTGAATTTTTTTGGTTTTGCTTTCCTTAAAAAATAGTATGGAGCCGGGACTATTTTATCACCTTGTTACGCGTAATCTAGCCACATTTTTAGTATTTTCTCTTTTTTTTTTTATTAGATAATTGAATACTTTGACATGTTAGTGAGAGATACATATTATATACATCTTAATCTAGAAATGACGAACTAATCTAATGCAGCCCCGGCACCGCCTGAAGGCATTACGTCGGGGGTTTTTGGTGCTGAGTTGTTTCTGTTATTATCAACTGACTTATAGATTTTAGCCTTATATTCTAATATATCCTTAATATACTTGTAACCGAGTTTCCAGTAATTTCTATTTTGTAACATTAATTCCAATAAATTATTTGCATTAATTTTAGAGTTCAACTTATTTTCTAATTCTAACTTAGGGGCTATATTAAATTTACATTGAAAAAACGTGTGATCGGGAGTGTCGAGCTCGCCACATTTGCATAGGGGAGAATTTATTATGTGTCTTTTTTCTAAATAGGTTCCAAAGGCCCCATGGCCTGACATATACTGGGTAATATAGAAGTCCGGATAGCCGTGTCTGCGATCTATCCAGTCATCGAGATTTTTCAATATGGTTTTAATCCATTTGTTACCCTTCTCATTTATCCAGATTTCTCTCCATTCATTTCATATATCTTGTTCTACATCTAATTTATTCTCCCCTCTTGCAATTCTAAGTTTTTGCTCTATTAGAAGGTTGGAAGGAGGAATTCCGGAGATTGTGTCTTGAGCAAAATTTGATATGGATTTGTAGCCGCTTATCAGAGTTTTCTTTAATGGTCGAATTGAGGATTCAATTAAAGTGGTTGTCTTTTTCCATTGCATAGCGGTAATCCAGATCGTGACGCCATAAAATAGAATAGAGAGTAGTGCGTGAAAAATCATTTTACGTCTGTAGTAAGTGGGTCCAATTTTGTTAGGAAGGATGTGATTGTAATGGTTAGCAGTTTTCCTAAGTTTGTTGCAGGTAAGTTCAAGATGTTTGCTAAAATTAAGATTTCTTGTAAGATAAAATCCTAAATTTTTCATTACATTTTTAGTTTTAACTAGGGTGTTATCTATTTTGATCTTTACATCTTTGTCTTTAACGCTGCCAGCTAGTATTAGGGCTTCGGTCTTACTCTCTTCAACAATTAATTGTTTCCCTTTAAGTTTTTTCTTAATCTTATTAGAGGCGGTTTCCGTGTCTTTTAGAAGAGTTTCAACATTTTCTGTTTCGAAAGCCAAAAGCGTATCATCCGCATAAACATTTTGCTCTACACAAACATCCAGCTTTAATCTCACAATCTCATCAAAAATAATTAGAAAAATCAGGGGACCCAACCTACTGCCTTGAGCTCCGCCCGAATTAAGCTTAATTTTAAAATCTGGGAACACTAGATACCTTTCAGATAGATATGATTTCATGATTCTTATCAAATAGGGTGGGACTTCTCTCTTACATAGTGTACTTATAAAATCTAGCCAACTAATGCTATTGAAAGCATTCTTAATATCTAATGAAACAAGACGGAGGATACCTCTCCTGGAAGCTGGTTTTCTTATATGATAATCGAAAATTCTCTTTAGTGACTCCAATGCTGTTATAGTGGATTTCCCTTTATGAAAACCGTGTTGTCTATTATCAAAGGTGAAGGAGTTAGAAAGTCTGGCTGCTAAGATATGTTCAAATATCTTAGAAAGAGTGTTAATAAGGCATATTGGTCTATAGTTTTTCCGGGGATCAGCAAGTTTTATTTTTGGGAAAAGAATCAATTTAGCTTCTTTCCAGCTATCAGGAAAGGTACCTTCCTTGAGTAGGGTATTACACATTTCTGTAAACTTCTTAATATAAGTGTCTATATAAATTTTAGTGATAACCGGTAGGATACCGTCTGGTCCTGGGGCCTTTCCATTTTTAAGTTTTCTCATGGCTGCGCGGATTTCATCCATGGTAATCTCCGGGATTTCCGCCCGATCCACTACCGTTTCTCTCCAGATCACATCACCGTGGTCGGGAAAGAGTTTTTTAATTTGATCAAGTAATTCTTCTTCAGACAACAGAGAATTGTCGTGCAAACGTGGATTTTTAAAGCGGCATCTAAAGATTTTATACCCTTTTCCCCAGATGTCTGTGTCTAATTCGTCTATCAGCTCCCTGTATTTTTTCTTTTTTGATTCAATTATTTTAGTAGTAAGTTCTTTTTTAAGATTCTCCAATTCATTTAATTTGTCTGTAAGAGGAAGATTTTTTCTTTTCAGTTCCATTATTTTTCGCCTTAATTTTTTACAGTTTTTCCTAGTTTTCCCGATTTCTTTAGTCCACCAATAGAGAGGGGTGCGTGGAGAGACTGCTGATTTTTTTATGAAGTGGGCATCTGACGCTTCAGAAATAATTTTTTCACAGATTAGAGGGGTGAGTTTGGATTCAGCTGTGTGGATGGAGGTTAGATTTTTTACTGTTTTTACAAAATCAGAAAATTTGTCTTTATTAATGTACCAGCCATAATTATTTATGGGTAACTTGGTTTGTTTTTCAATATTAGTATCATTAAGTATGTTCACTAAGACGCATCTATTATCTGAGAGGGTGTAAGAGTCAAGAATTTCTATTTTAATTTTGTCACTTAGATCACCACTGGATAATACTAGGTCGGGGATAGATTGAAAACCTCTCGAATTTATAATTGTAGGTGTGAATCTTTCGTGATTGTTGTGTATAGTTAGCTCATTTTCGAATATCCAGTCCTCAATAATATGACCTCTTGGATTGTATTTAATGTCGCCCCAGGCTGGTGATCTCCCATTAAAGTCACCTAGGATTAGAAAAGGTCCATTAATTATTTTTATTTGTGTTTCTAGAATGAACAGGGCTTTTTTCAATTCAATATTATTATCTTTGGGAGAGAGATAAACTCCAACAATTGTTATTTTAGACCAGGTGAATAACACGTAAAAAGGACCAGCCTCCCAATTGGAGGTGGAGCCGGTGAGAAAACGGGGTAGAGCAGGCGGACACCCACAGATCAAGGCTAGAAAAGAGATTATCCCAGTTTGCTTTTGTAACATTTGGTTCAGTGAGGAAATAACATCCGATTTTGCGATTTTCAACAATATCTTTAAGCAAATCGTGTGAGTGAGGTTTAGTATTGACATTACCTGACAATATAGACATACCACTTATCTCTTGACTTATATTAATATCGGAGTTCATAGAGTTATCAAATCCATTTTTATCCTTATTTTTACGGATTATATTTAAATTTTTGCTGGGCGGGTTTTTACTAACTATCACGTCGTTTTCTTCTACCTTTTTGAGGATAATCTTATCCTTATTTGTGATAAATACATCATCATCGCTATTGTTTTAACAGGACAAATCATTTTCGTTCTGCATAAGCGCCGGTAATGAGGAATTGTCATCTATATCAGAATTATCATAATTACGAGGGTCATCCAAAAAGTAAGTTCACCCCTTTCATATCTCCGAAACTAAAAGAGATAAATCAAATCGGTAAAAAAGAACTTCTTACTTATATCCTCAGCTCTCCATAGGTACCAAGATTTTTAAATTTGGACCACTGGTTGCCGAGATATTCGATTTTTACGTGAACAACTCCCGGCCAGTTCCGTCCACCAAACGACGCGCTGATATGAGATGCACCGCGCGCTGTCGCGTCGCTTTTGTCTTCTGGGACTCTCAAGGAGTACTTCTCGTCCATTATTTGGAGAAAGGGTGTACAATCAATGCACCACGGTATTGTGGAATATTGAATTCGTTGCGATTGGCAAGAAAAAACAAGCGACCGGGTCTCTTGTCTCGTGGTCCCCTATTCCTTCACGATAATGCCACACCTCACACGGCGAAAGAGACCCAAAATGTGTTGGACTTTGCGTGGGAGGTGCCATCTCATCCTCCAAACTCTTCAGACCTTGCTCCGAGTGACTATCATCTTTTTCTGCAACTCAAGAAGCACCTAGGTGGCCAGAACTTCGAGAATGATCAGCAGGTGATGGAAGCAATCAATCGCTGGTTCAGGAGTCAACCATCAAAAGTGTTCTTTGAGAACGGCATTAAGAAGCTTCAGAAACGCTATGAAAAATGCATCAGTAGGAACGGAAATTACGTCGAAAAATAAGGTAAGATTGTTTTAAAGCTAATCTTAGAATATTTGAGTTGGTTATTCCTATATACGTAGATGTGTGGGGAACACAATCAATTCAGGTAGCGTGACGGGAATCGCGCAGCGCGTCGTTTGGTGGACGGAACTGGCCGGGAGTTGTTCACGTAAAAATCGAATATCTCGGCAACCAGTGGTCCAAATTTAAAAATCTTGGTACCCATGGAGAGCTGAGGATATAAGTAAGAAGTTCTTTGTTACCGATTTGATTTATCCCTTTTAGTTTTGGAAATATGAAAGGGGTGAACTTACTTTTTGGATGACCCTCGTATAAGCAACGGACCATGATTGAGGAAGCGCGATGGGTGTAATGATTCGACCGCAAGGCAATTTAAGAGGTGGTAATAACATACCTTTACATTTTTTGCAATTTTTTGCTTTGACAAAGTGTCTACACCAAATACAGTTTAGATCCGCATAAGATCTGGGATCAAAACAAATAATACATTTAGAGATAGGGCGGGTGTGTTGACAAAAAAGTTTAGTGTCTTTTGTGACATTATGAGTGTCAATCTGATTAGATTCTATATCAAGATCGAGCATCTCAAATCGATTATTGGAGCAAGAATTCATACTTGATTTTGTTGAGAAAGGTCAGGATTGTTTACATAGCTAACTACCTGTGTACCATTACCATGTGGAGATGCTAAGGTGTGTCTTAACTGTTCAAAGAATATACTATCATGATCTTCATAGCGTCTACACTTCTGTTCGAAGGCTTTTAGATAAATAGGGCATTTAGGACTGGTGGGGAGGTGTTCTAGCTTTTCTTTAATTTTGTGTCTAACACAGTTGATACATTTTGCATGTTCTTCCTTACACTCGGCTATTTTGTGATTGTTTTTCCCACATTTGAGGCACAACACTTCATTAACACATATTTTTGTTCCGTGGTAGAGGTCTAGGCAGTTCATGCAGGGGGAGACAAGAATTTTAGGTTCAGCTTTAGCAAAGCCAAAGGTGCTTAAGTAAAAGTTTCTTTGAATTAGGACATCTTCAAGCAAGGGTGATTCGATTCTCATGTAGACTATATTTTTGGGGGTACTGAAATTATTCCTTAAATTGATGGTTCTGAAAATATGAGTTTTCTTTTGAATATTTTCGAGAGTATACTTATTATTGAGTTCGGCATAAATTTCCTTGAGGATTTGAGATTCGGACATATTGGCTGGGATAGGACCGAAATTTACAACTTCTGATGGATAGGTGGCTTTGACATTAACTGATTTGGATTTAAGACAATTTTTCAGTGCGCTTTCTAATTTTCCTC